AATTTATAATTTTGATCATCTTGAGGTAAAGATTCACGCTTAACTAAACGTCTATCTTCAACAACAAAGTCTTTTCCAAAAGGAATTTTAAACTCTTTAGTAAAAGAATTATTTCAAGGTTTTTTTTTATATAAACTTTGTGGATCACGTAACTTTAATGGATAAGCATTGTGTTTATAATGAGCATACATTTTTTCAAATTCTTTTGTTTGCCCTGTTGGTGCCATTTTACTAGAAGCACTAACATAAATTGAACCATCTTGAATTAATTTGCGTGCTCAAAAAATATTTGGTGCTAAATTTAAACGATATACAATAACGTCTAAACGACGCTCTAAATAACCTAATTGAATATCTTCTCTAGACAACAATGTACTTTTTTTTTTACGCGCTTTTTCTTTAATCCTATTAAATTGTTTGACTCGTAAATTACCATAAAATGGTAAAGTTGTTCTTTGTAAGACTTGTTTGATTCTAGCCTTTTTCTTAGTACGAACTGAAGAACGATTATTTCTATCACGTAATAAACGTTTACGCTGAAAGTATAATTTATTTTTTTTCTCATAGACTGGACGTTTGTTTCTTAAAAATGGAGTTCAATTGAATTTTTGGCTTCATTTTAATTCACGACGCTCACTAGTTAAAAATCCACTATAAAGTACACGTTTCGATATTAATGAGTGTAATCACGGATATCTTGCACGTGTACTTCAATGTTCTTTAAATTTATTAAATGGATATTCTGCTCTAGCTACATTTCTTTGGAAATAATATGGCACTCTTTTTGGTATTACTAAATTTGTATAAAATCATGCGCGTTTTTGGTCTCCTTGGAATCTTTTTGCTCATTTATGTCTACTTGAACTGAAATGGTTTAATACGTCTCAAGAACGTATTTTAAATTCTTTTCTATACTGTCTTGCACGACGAGCTTTTTTTTGTGATGTTTTGTGCGCCATTAAGAATTGAGTACCTAACACAGTCTTCAAAAAATCAATTCTAAATCTTCTTCTTCTTGATGATTTACGTTTTAATCAAAGATACCTATTTTCTAATCATTTTTGTTTATCTGTTAAATTTGTATTTGGTTTACTATATCTACCCGGAGGTATTAATGCACTATGTGGTACTTTTGATAATAGTTTGATACGTAAAGTTTTTAATTTTTTGTATTTGTTTTTTTGTTTTGAATTTAATTTTAATTTTTTTTTACGTTTTTCAAAATCAATACCCATTGCTGCAGTAGAACGTCTATATGTTTGAAAAAAATTAACATAATTAAATGTATTATTTACGTGAAACATACCGGTTCTTTTTGTATTTAATTTATCTAAGAATTTTTTTCCACTAGAAACATTTATATTTGTTCAACGTTTGATTGCTTCAACTTCTACGCTGCTTCCCATTCTAGCATAAACTTTTTTAACTTTTCATTTACGTAAACGTTTTACACTGAAAGGTTTTGTATATGTACGTTTTTTTGTTACGAATTTGATGCTACTTGGTATAAATTTCGGAGTAATATTTGTTACTATAAATTTAACTAAGTCGATTCCTTTCGGACGTTTCGCTAAATGGAATGCTTTTTGCGCACGCTTATAAACACCACGTGACTCTTTTCTTTCACGTTTACGAAACCTTTCGGCTGAAATTTTTCTTCACTCACGTCATCTTTCTATTATTATGCGTTCTAAATTTTTAGGATTTTGTCTTTTGCTAAGTGATTTACATAATTTTAATAATTTGTTTACTTCCGTAAATCTATAGCTTTGTTGTAATAACAATTTTTCTAATTTCTCTATTTTTTTTAATAAATTTTTATTATTTTTTGTCATTGTTTTTCTTATTTATATACTTTTGTTTTTTATCATTAGACGAATCTCTTTTTGTACTAGACCCCTTTATGCTTTTAGCCTGAGATTTTAATTTATTGGCTTCTGTTTTTACGTTAACATTGGTAAAATTTTGCGCAGATTTTGCCTCTCTATTCGCAACAAATATTTCTTTTTTTCTTAATTGATCTTTTGTATTTGTATTTTGAGTAAAAGAAGACTTTTTGTTATCTACCTTATTGCTTACATTAATTACATTGGAAACTTTATTTTTTTTATCTTTTATGCTTTTCTCAAAATTTTTGTCAACATTATTTTTGGTTTCCTTTGACGTAAAGTTAGAGATGTGTTTAGTTGGTTTAAAAAAATTCTTTCCTTTATAATTATTTGGTACAAAAACGAATCTACGTTTTGATGTATTAGCTTTTTTATGTTTTCAGAAAAGCGGTTGTCTTTTCTTTAAAACTTTTTTTTTATTTATTTGTTGTTTATTTTTGGCAATAAATTTGTTTTTAAAATTTTTTCTTTTATAACGACGGCGATAATTTTTTCTATAAGGTTTGAATCTATGCGCTAAACTTGGAAGAATTTGGTGAAAACGACGGAATTTATAAACAAAACGGCGAGTTCTTCTGCGATAAAATTTTACAGATTTGGTTCTACCTTGTGAAGATTTAAGTAAATGTCTATTAAAAGATTTTCTAATTTTTTTGATATAAGTTGGGAAATTTCTAGAATTTGATAAATGTAATTTTTTTCTAAAATAATACATCTTAGTTACCCTAGAAGGACCAATTAATCCACGTTTTTTTATTTTAGATGTTACAAAAAAAACATGTCTTTTTGCAATTTGCACGAAACGTTTTTTCTTTCATTTCATAATTCAATTTTTATAGTATAATTTTTGTCATAAGATTGAATTACTAATTTTTTGTTTACGATGTAAGTTTTTTAATGAAAACACGTAAGAATTTAATTTTTTGTTAGTTAATTCATAAGATAAAACTTTAAACGCAGTTTTTGATAAAGACGGATTCCTTTCACTAAATAAATTTCGAGCCAATAAAGTATAATATGGATAATTTTTTACCAGAGCTTGAAATAATTTCGGACTACGTCACATTGCTTTTGCAAATTCAGAACGTTTTTTATAAATCTTTTTCATACTTTTTGCTTTAATTTTTTTATTTTTTAATGCCATATAAAGTTTCTGGAAAGCTTTATTTTTTTGTACGGCAGTAGTATGTGTTATTTTAAGTTTAACTATTGCGTCCAATATGTTAGTAATACGTTCTTCGCGTTTTTCTAACGGATTACGTGTAATTTCTTTTGCGAATATACGTTTTCTTTTTCATAATTGAAATTTACGTTTCTTTCTTGTTTGAAATTTAGCAAATCATTGTGCACGATTACGTTTACTTCTATCAATTAAATGACTATGTCCGTATGATTTGATTAAAGCTTTACGTTTATTTTTTTTTGCTAATTTTCATAAGTAACCTTTTTTGAAAAATTTTGGTCGACGTCCACGACTATTAACTATTACACGTTTTTTCAATTTTGCTATTTTATTTGAACCATTTCTTATGTTTTTTCTAGCAACTCTTCTCTCAGCCCTTTTGAATAATAAAGATCTTTTTTTATCCTTCAATAATTTCTGTAATTTGACTGAAAATCTTTTCATTAAAAAATTTTTATATCTCTTTACAGTATATATGGAAAGTTTTTCTTGTTTCGCTTTAATCATTTCTCCTACGCTTTCACTAGTAATTGTTTTTGATTCTACCTTAGGATTACGTAGTCTTTTTTGTTCTTCACGTTTTGTTTGACGTTTTAATCTATATCATTTTAACGAGTATTTACGAGGATACTTATCTTTTGCTAAAAGATACATCATTGCTTTTAAATTTTTTCAATAAGGTTGTTGACCTACATATTTTAATTTATTGTAATTTTGTATTTTAATTTGAGTTAAATTGGTATTTTTTCTTAACAGACGTAATTTGCGTAATTTTTTTACTCGATATTTTGCAAGATTGTATAAGCTTTTTTTTGTAGCTTTACGTGTTGCATTTTTAGAGTATTTTAATTGGATTTTAGGGCGTTTTTTAAAACGTATACGTTTTTTTATTCAGGGGAAAGTTTTAGTTTGCGCAAGAATTTTTGATTTCGAGTTCGCATCAACACTTGTAGCTTTTATTTTTTTACTTTTATTTGTGACAAATGCCCGTGTTCTATTGAAAATACGGTGTGATGACTGTTTATATTCAACTTGAACAAAAGTTTTAGCAATTAATACAGCTAAAAAATTACAAAAAAAGTGAACAATTTGAACTGAATCAGAATTACCAAAGATGGGATATGCAATTTTAGTCGATTCATCAGAATTTACTAAACCAATAACGGGAATAGTTTTTGCTATTGTTTCACGTAAAATCATATCATTATTTGTAATATCTGGTATAATAGCTAAAGCGGGACGTTGTGTTAACATATTCAAATTATGTCAATTATAACGTTTTTCTTTTGCTTCTTTATTTTCAGAAAAAGTTTTTTCAAATTGTCGTTCAATAATTGATTTACTAGTAAATGTATTTAATTCTTTACTTAATTTTAACTGTTTACCTAAAGGTTGTGAATTTGCTGTAATATAACCACACAATCAGCGATTTGTACTTGCATTCATTTGACAAATTCCTGCGGAAGTTTTTATAATATCTGTGTATGTTGGATTTGTTGATGCAAATAAGATTTTAACTGGACGTTTTTTCTCAAGTGTTTTATAATAATATGCATTATGATGTTTAGCAATTTTAACATTTTTCATTTTTGCGTATCATTCTTGATATCTGCTTGGATCTTTTGGTGGAACCGGTTTACAATATCTTATTTTTTTTGCAGATCCTACTTTGTAACCCAATACAACTTTTGATCTAAATAAAGTCTCAATTAATGGTGTAAATTTTAACAATAAATGTTTAATTTCATTAAATTTAAATAAATTGTAATCATTTCTGCTACCCAATAAATATTGTGCAACATTTTTACTTGTAAATCTTGCGTGTTCCCCTAATGGTAAACAGTTATGCAAAATTAGTGTTTGTCAAATTTTAGCGTTTTTAACTTTGCAACTTTTAGTTTGATATTTAGTATTCATACTTTTAAATTTATCCTAGGCGGGACTCGAACCCACAAAAGTTTGCTTCTAAGGCAAAAACGTCTACCAATTCCGTTACTAGGACTTTATAGTATTATTTTAGATTTTACTCTCAAGTTTCGAGTAGAAACCATTTGGTCTTATCGAAGATAAAAACCTTTCTGGTACTACATGTCTGATAATTTTTATTTTATTTCATAAGTTTGAATGTATTGAAAAAAACATTTAAGAAAAAACGATACATTTTAAATTTCTCTGGGAAATTCTAGTAATCTTTGGTTTCACTCTTTAGTTTCGAACTCAGAGTAGAAACTCTTTAGTTTAAACCCTTTGGTCTTACTTGTTAGGATTTACCTTCGGTAAATGCTCTTCAGTTTACAACTTTGAGTTTAAACTTGTTTGTATTTACCTTCGATAAATCCTAACAAGTAAAAACCAAAAGTATAAATTGAAACGTAGAAGCTATCGAAAATATTTAAATTAAATTTGGAATCTAATATTGCTTAAATCCTGGGCCTCTAAGATTTATAATTGGAGGTTTACGCTTTCATGATACTGTTATATAAGGTCCCTGAGTTAAGTTTTTTTCTAGTATGTAACCTACTTCAACAGCATATATTTCATTGTAGACTTCAGTAAGTTTTATTATAAATTCTTCTTTTGATAATTTAGATAAATGGATTTCTTTTGTTGTCCCTGCATGATTATCCGTAATAGTCATACTTGCAAGTCTTTGTGTTACTAAACGCGCGGCTCCGGCAATACCATCTAACCTAAGCCTATCTAATTGTAGGATCAGTCGTTCTTTATCGTAGTCGCGTGTCATCGGAGTTGTCTGGTTAGACTGCTGCATAGAAATATGCAGTGTCATTCACGGTAAAGTTTGATTGTTTTTTTCACACAGTCACAAAATAATTTTCCGCTGCTGGGATAGCGGGGATGACTGCTAAGAAATAAGCGAAGTAAGCGAAAGTAAAGATTTGGCTAGCAACAACATAAGGTGCGGTAGCTGGTTTACCTCCTAAAATCAATAAAATTAAAAAAATTGCAGAGAAAATTCAGAAACTGATTTGTTGGAAAATAGAAATTGGTGAAACTAAAGTATTTTGTGGTACAGGGTAGAATGGTAATACACCTAAAATTAAAATAGCAACAACCATAAAAATAACACCACCTAATTTATTAGGACAAGAACGTAAAATTGCATAGAATGGTGTGAAATATCATTCTGGAACAATATGCGCTGGAGTTACTAATGGATTTGCTGGAATGAAATTATCTGAATGACCTAAAACATTAGGATAGAATTTGATTAAGATAACAAAAAATAATAATGTTACTGTAAATGCGAAAGCATCTTTAATGGTAAAATATGGATGAAATGGAATTTTGCTCATATTTGCAGAAATTTGAATTGGATTTGTAGATGTTGCTTCATGTAATAATACTAAATGAACACCAATTAAACCAGTAATAATAAATGGTAATAAATAATGAATACTAAAAAAACGAACTAAAGTTGCATTACTAACGGAGAAACCACCTCATACTCAATAAGCGACAGATTCACCTACGACTGGAACAGCAGTAACTAAACTAGTAATTACGGTTGCACCTCAGAAACTCATTTGTCCTCAAGGTAAAACATAACCAATAAAAGCAGTTCCCATCATTAATAAAAAAATAACAATACCGGATCATCATAAGTTACGACGATTGAATAAATATGATCTATAGTATAAACCACGACCGATATGAAGATAGATTAAAATAAAGATCATAGATGCACCATTCGCATGCATATAACGTAAAGTATAACCATATTTAACATCTGTCATAATATACACGACAGAACTGAATGCATTTTCAATACCACAAGTATAATGCATAGCTAAGAAAATACCAGTTGCTAACTGTATTGCAAAGAACAACCCAACTAATGACCCAAAGCTATAAGCATAGGTAAAATTTATTGGGGTGGGATAAAATACCACATGGTTCGATACAGCTTGCATAATCGACGATTTACTATTAATTAAAAATGAAGTTAAACTATTATTTCTATAATTAAACATATTTTACGAAAAAATTGATTTTTTAGTTTTCAACTTTAAGTTAAAACCAAAGGTGAAAACTAATAAGTATAAACTGCCTAACGTCAACGATAACGTGTATTTACACGATCTCTAACAAGACTAGAATAGTGAAGTGCTTTTTTACGTAGTAAATCACTCTTACGTGCACGTTTTTTTCTTGATTTTTTTTGTAATAAGCCAGTCAATGTTCTAATAATTCTTGCACGTAATGACAATTCAGGCTCTACTTTAATTTGAGATACTAATCATTTTAACGCGATTACTAATTGTCTACGTGGTTCTAAAGGTACTGGTACCGATTTTCAAATTTTTCCTACACGTTTGGTAATTGTACCTAGTAAGGGTTTTAACCTGATTATTGAAACAAATAAAATTACAATTGGTTTAGCATTATACTTTAACTTGAAATTATATCAAACGTGTGACATAATTTTTTCAATTACATGTTTTTTACCATTTAACATTAACTTATTTAAAAATTTACTATATCAGTAAGATTTATATAACGGGTCTAAAGTTACTCTTCTTATCATAGATTTTTTTATATTTTTTACTTTTTGTGACATTTTTATCAGTATCTGAATTTTTTGTATCTATTATCTACACGATTCAATACTCGTTTCATTCCATATTTTGAACGAGCTTTACGACACTTGTAAATTGGTTTTAGATCAAATTTACCTCTAATAATAGTATATTTCATACCGGGTAAATCTTTAACACGACCACCCCTGATTAATACAACAGAATGTTTTTGTAAGGTATGACCTCACATACCAGGGATATATGCATGTACACGTTTACGATTACTTAATTGGATTCAAGCGACTTTACGTAACGCAGAATTAGGTTTACGTGGTGTCATTGTAAAGACACGAACACAAGTTGCTTTTTTTTGTGGACATTTATCTAATGCTGGACGACGATTTTTGACTATACGTTTTTTTCTTGATTTTTTTGTTAATTGTACTAGTGTAGGCATGTGTTTAAAAACTTTTTTTCTTTTTACCTTCTTTACGCATTACATTATCTTTACGGTACCTAATACCTTTTCCTTTATATACATCTGGTTTTTTAAATCTTCTTATTGAAGAAATTAATCCAGTCATAAAGGCTAAATTGCTTCCCATAAATTTAATTTTAGTTGCTTTTCTATTTAATTTTGTTTTAATAAAACTTGGTAATAATACATTAATCTTATGACTATAACCAACTTGTAGTGTTAAATATTGATTTTTTCTAAGAAATTTATAACCAACACCACGAACTAATAAATATTTTTTTATACCAACTGTAGTACTTAATACTGCTCTTTTTAATTGCATGTGTACTAAGTTATAATATTGATCCGCTTTTTTCTCTTGACTTTTTTGGTAAATGCTATAGAAGGTTTGGCTTCTTTTTAAATTTGTTTTTTTTAACTCTAAACTGTTCTTGGACATTTCAATTGATAATGGCATTTTGTTTTTATTTTCTAAATATTGTACTGTAGTGGAATTTGCACCAGACATTCAGATAATATAACCATTATTATATTGTTGACAGATTGTATTTACATTTTGTGGTAGATATATATATTTTTTCTTTAAATTTGTCATCTTATTTAATATAGGCAATCAATTCTCCACCAACACGATTTTCTCAACATTCTCTAATATTCATAATTCCATTACGAGTTCGAACTAAAGCAAGAGAATACGGATAATCGTTTAAATATGCTTTGATTTGTTTTGTGTTTATAATGATTCTTTGTCTAACGGAAGATACGGTTTTAACCTCTTTTATCACACAAGTACCTTGAATGTCATAGGTTAAGAAAATTTTGAATTGATTAGTATCACTATCTTCTGTATAACCGGCAATAAAATGCGCTTTTTGTAAAATTTGTAAAATCGCCCCTAAATCGTTAGTTTTAGTAAATGTGAAATATAATCTTTTTTGTGATGCAGCAAATTCTAAATGTTGAAAAAACAATTTGATTTGATCGATACTCATAAATCTATAACTTATCGGTTTTCTTATTCCATATTGATTTTTGTTTTTCATCTTATCAGCTTGCTTTAGTTACGCCGGTAAAATAACCAGCATTTGCGTATTCACGAACTTTCATACGGGATAAACGAAAAAAACGATAAACAGAACGACTACGTCCTGTTAGAATACAAATGGTTCTTGTTCTAGCGAATGAACTATACTTGGAACTTTTATTTGTTAGATTTTGTAAATAATTACGTAATTTTTTTGATTTAAATTTTACTAACATCGGTTTAATTGTTTTATATACTTGATTCTGTATTTCATTTTTATATAATTTTTGTCTAATTTTATTTTCTTTTGCACTAAATTTTAACATAATTTTTTTAAACTTTATATTGACTAACAATCAAGTAAAATGCCGAGCTTTCCATGCTCTTTTTGGCCTTAAATATTTTTTGTAAAAAAAAAATATAAAGATCACGTTTAGAACAAGAGCCCGGCCAAAAAGTCTCTATATTTCAGAGGGACTTTTTAGTTTGTACTTGTTTTTCTTTTTTCATCTAAAATTCTTAATTTTTAGTTAGCACTCTCGAGTATTTACCTTTGGTTTTAAGACCAAATGGTTTCTACTCTCAAGTTTAGAGTATAAACTGTAGAGTAAAAATAAAAATCAAAATTTATGCAGCACTATTTTGTTTTACTCATCAAATACGAGCTTCTTGAGCTAACTCAACTGGCTCGTATGATAATCTTTTAGTACTATCATTATAATATAATTCAATAAATCCAGTTAATGGGAAATCTTTACGTAAAGGATGACCTTGGAAACCATAATCAGTTAATATTCTACGTAAATCTTGATGATCTACAAAGAATATTCCAAATAAATCTCAAACTTCGCGTTCTAATCAGTTTGCACCCTCATAAATTTGAGTTACACTAGGTAAAGGGGATTCTATTGGAAGTTGTACAGTAACTAAAATATTTGTATTATATTTTACACTATATAAAG